TGGAATCCCCCCCAAATGCATCGAGGGACCCCAGACACTGATTCCATGTTCAACAGGTCGCCGATCGCTTCACATCCAGAAGCACACCTGTGCCTCCTGCGGTTACCCCGCGGCCAAGACCCGCAAGTGTACGTTTTTTTACTCCCGACGACGAATCCAATCCGATCCAGCCCAGTCACAATTCGAGACATTCCTTGCCTACGCCATCCTCCCCCTCCATCTAGCCCGTGTGTGAGACCGGAAATACTGACGCAGGACGCGATACAGACAACTGGTCCGAGAAGGCCAAGCGGAGAAAGACCGTCGGCACCGGCCGCATGCGCTACCTCAAGGACGTCTCCCGCCGCTTCAAGAACGGCTTCCAGACCGGTGTCCCCAAGGGCTCCGCCGGCCCCACCGTCCAGCAGTCGTGAGCGAGAACCAAGCGATGATTGGAATGTGAATCGGGTCGACATGGGGAGGTATCTGTGCAATCGAGGCATTCGGGCGACGGGTTAGGGAAGACATGGGGGAGGGCGGAGGAGGTGTTGTTGCCCTCGAGGGGGGAAACTCTTTTCGGAAGAAACGATATCACGAAACACTCTTCTTTTTTTTCCTCCTCCCTAAACCCCCCCGTTTGACTTGAACAGCAAAGCCAATATCAAAAAAGGAGTCAAACAAAAACCACAAACAACGGGTGTTTTGCGTTCATACATCTCTTCGCGCGCGGACAAACAAGGGGAAATCACTTTTTTTTAACAAAGGCATTGGGAAAATGGGGATCCTCAAAAACGAAAGAGAAACGGCTTTGCTTGTCTTGTCACCCTCTGTGATCCCTCCGCGCCTAGGAGTATGAGTGATGAAACGGGCCCGCCCCGAATGTTTGACGTGCTCAGTGTGCTGGCCAGTGTTTTTCCAGATCGTATGTGATATGGCGAGACTGGGTCGACTATGTGTTGCATAGTGTGGTTGAAGCTCTACTCACAGCTGACCAGTCCTTGGTCGGGGAGCATGCCTAACCCGCAGTGGTTGTCTCGAACCTCGTTGCCAAACCGACCCGGTTCATGGCAGAAATTCCCACTCAACATGTCCAAAGTATCATTCATGGCGCGCGCTCACAACCTGAACCCTCCCTCCCTTCCCCTTACTGCCCCCTCCCAAACACCTTGACGCTCCCGTCCCCGCCGACAAAGTACAGCAGCTCCGTCTCCTCGACCGGCCCTCTCTCGCCGTCATGCCCGTCCCCGCCGGCCGTGATCCTCAGCACCCCGCTGACGTCGCTCGCGTTGCCCGTGTCCAGGAGCCGGAGGCCGAAGACCGTCTGCGCGGCGTGTGCCAGCCCGAGGACGAAGGCCGCGTGCTCTTTCTCAAGCGTCGTCGTCTGCGACGCGACGAGGGGCTCGTCCGCTGCGACAGCGGCCACGGTTGCGTGGACTTTCTGTTGTTTTTTTTGTCTCATCGTTAGTTTCGTCTTCGTTGTCTCATGCTCAACAAGGGGTGGTGGGGTCAGAGGTAGAAGAAATGAGGCACATGGCCGGGGTTTTTGTCAAATTGAAGCACGCGAGAATTGTCCCATGAGAGAGACGGGGACCAGGAGAAAGAAAAAGCGCCTGGCTTACCTCTTGCACGTCGAGAAGCATGTTCCGCAACGCCAAGCCGGTGAGGCCCTCGCCAGACGCAGCGAGGAGGAGGTCAGGCTGGTCCAGGACCAGCACCGTCTTGGCGCCCGCTGCGGACACATCGGCGACTGCTGCCTCGAGCTCGCGCTGTATGTCCGGCAGCCTCGCCCCGCGGAGAACCCTCCGCCCCTTGGCCGCCGCCACCGCCGGCTGCGCGGCGCTCTCCTGCCAGAACAGCCCGCTCAGCCCGTCGACGAAGACGAACTTGCCGCTCCGTCCCAGACCTTCGAGGTCGAGGCCCTGCGTCAGTTCGTCAGTTCTTGCATCTTTTTTTCAAGGCAGCTCTTCCCCTCCATTCCGACAGTCCGTTGAAGAATCTCATAGGATGGAGGGGCCAAAGAGGGGGGGGGGGGTAAGTGAGTGAACATACCAATCTGCCGGCGCCCTCCTTCCAGAACGCGAAATCTCGCATGAAGCTCACAAACACGACGCGGACGTCATCGGCCAGCGGCGCCTCTTCCCCATTCGTGGCCGGCTTCCTGAGGTACGAGTACAGGTGGCGCAGGACAAGCCAGTTGGTGCTGGCGCCCAGGACGCCGGTGAGGAGGATCTGGGCGCATTCGGGCGGGAGGGCGAGGTAGCCCTCCAGCACGTGGGGTATCCTCGTAGCCATGGTTATGTTCTGAAGGGGGGTTTTTTTTAGTTTAGTTTTTGTTGTAAAAGTGAGAGTATTTGTGAGGCATGTCATGTAAGTGAGGCCTTGGGCTTTGGGGTCACGACGCATTTTGCACTTTGACGTGGATGGTGGGGTGTGGCATGTCTCACAGTGTTCATTCGGGTCGACACTGTACTCTCACATCTCGGTTGCTTCTTATGCTTCTTCACTCGAGCCGTGGGAATTGACTGGTGTTCGGTTGAATCGGCGTCCACGATTCTCTGATAAGTCTTTATTAAGATACCAAGTACATTGCTCCGTCAGATAGGATATACTCTACATTATCAAAACAGGGCACGGCCGACTTGTCACTCGACCCATTCGCCCAGCCTCAATAGGCATGTGAGATCACCGACGAGGTTGGCGTGATGAATCGCGGCCTCTCCGTCATGTTTTTCAGGCTGATGACGTCCGAGTCAATCGCCATTTCTTTATTGTGTTCGTCTGACAAACTATCACCCCGATGATTTGGGTATGTGTATAATATCTTCCAAGAAGGCCGCAAGGCTGTAGCTACTGCGCGGATGAATTGATTCCAGCTGTCCTCCCGCTGCCCTCAACACCCTGCTTTATTCCAACATCTCTACGGCCGGGAGTTGACAGCAAGACTTCATGAATGTGATGAATGTAGTCGAGAAGGATAGAAATACGAGATATGGAGTAGAACCATGCTCATCAAGTTCTGCGGCGCTCCTTTTTTCCACGGCTACCCAGTTGACTACTTGCATTATGGTCAGTTGCAATAACAATTCTATCACAGCAGTAGATCCGGTGCTGCAGCTCTTCACTCCGGCAACACCTGAGCCCGGGGCAAGGGATACGCCGGACAACTATCAACGATCTTATGATTCTGCAATCTGGCCGATTTGTTATTGGCAGGCACCATGAATGACGATGAAGTGATATTCAAGAACGCTTCATAGGAAAACCTCGTCTCCCATCGGTCGATAAAAATAACCAAGTGAGCACACGCTGTGGTATTTCTCATTGCTATTTCTTGTCAAACAGCACATGTCACCGAAGTCCGAGTTTTTCTCACGGAGGGAAAGGTTGATAAAAGTCACGAGTCTCCAAGGCCTGTTTTAGTACTTCCTGTATGATGTGCTCATTACTTTTCGGCACGTATTGTGTGGTAGTCAAAGGCCGACTTTCTATTCAGTCTGCCATCGATTCTATCACCCCGTTTGCCCTCGTGTCATATTCAACATGTGTTGAATGGCTTGAACCGCTCAGACCCTCGAGGCCACATTGAACCGCACACCAGATCTGCGGTCTGATCCAATACCTGCTTTCACCGCTTGTCTCGGATCAATCGAACTGAACCTTCAACGCAGCCATGCGGGGTTACGTATAATATTAAAGGGTCGCAGTGGCTAAAACTCCCCAAGATAAAAAGACCAAACATCTTCCAACCAATTCCCCGCTAGGGAAAGCATCCCGCCAGAAGTGCATACACACACACACACACACACACATACACACACGCAAACATGTCCGACCCCATCCCGCCCCTCATCACGCTCGAAGAGCACTTCATCGCCCCCGACCTCTTCGCCGAGCTGGCCGACCTGTTCGGCGAACAGCTCAAGAACGTGCCAGAGGTCGGCGCGCGCCTCAGGGACGTCGGGCCCCTCCGCCTGGCCAACATGGACGCGAACCGCGTCTCGCTCCAGGTCGTCTCCCACGCGCCCGGCCTCGGCCCGCGCCCGCCAGCGCTCAGCCGCCTCGCCAACGACGCGCTCGCGGCCTCAGTGCGGGACGCTCCCACCCGGCTGGCCGGGTTCGCGGTGCTGCCGATGGCGGACCCCGAGGCCGCGGCGGCGGAGCTCCGGCGGTGCGTCCGCGAGCTCGGGTTCGTCGGCGCCCTGGTGGACTCGCATGTTGACGGGAAACACTACGACGATCCGCGGTTCTGGCCCGTCTTCGAGGCGGCGGCGGAGCTCGATGTGCCCGTCTACCTGCACCCCACGTTCCCGTCTGCAGGCCAGCGGCCGGCCTACGAAGGGGACAACTACGGGCCCGGCGCGGCGCTCAGCCTCGGGAGCAGCGGGTTCGGGTGGCACCAGGAGACGGGGCTCGGGGTGCTCAGGCTCTTCGCCGCCGGCCTGTTCGACGCGGTGCCGGGGGTCAAGATCATCATCGGACACTTTGGCGAGATGCTGCCGTTCGTGATGGAGCGCGTGGAGAAGCTCTCGACGCGGTGGGGCGCGCGCGACCGCAGCTGGCGCAGGGTGTGGGAGGAGAACATATGGGTGACGACGAGCGGGGTGTGGGGGCTGGCCCCGTTGGCCTGCGTGCTGAGGAACACGCCCATCGACCACGTCCTGTACAGCGTCGACTACCCGTTCGAGAAGAACGAGAACGGGCTGGCGTGGGTGAGGGAGCTGCGGGACAGCGGCATGGTCACGCCCGAGGAGCTCGAGAAGATCGCCTACCGAAACGCCGAGAAGCTCCTCCGGGTCAAGGCACCGGTCGCCACCGGCGAGAGCAAGCAGTCGTGAAGAGCCCCCATCCCCTCTCCGAGGGATTCGTTGTCCGAAGGCGCTTTCTCACCTCCGTCTCCAACTCATGACTGGCTACACAGTATCATTGCCCCCACCGCCCCGTCGTCATCCTTCCGGCGCCCCTCCCGCCCACGATGTGCCCCTTCTTCTCGCCTTCCACCGGCCCCGTCCGTCACGCACACGGTCTCTGTGGCTCAGTTGGTAGAGCGTTGGTCTCATATTCACTTGGTTGAAATGACTCTGGAACACATTCCAAGGACATCCAAAGGTCGCAAGTTCGAGCCTTGCCAGGGACACTTTGATTTTTGCCTGTAGCGTTAAGCTTTTTTGACAAGACACTATCTGTCGCGTTTGTGGCTGACGTTTAGGGAGTGAAGTGCATTGGGCTATATTACAATAATACTGGTACCCTGTGTGTGCTCTGCTGCTTAGCTTGTGTGTTTTAAACTGATAGCTCCTGTGTCGTTATGAACAGGACGTGATAGCTTCAAAAGGAGTAGTCACACGCATCTGCAAGGTCGATCATATTAACAGACTAGGCCTTGTCTGACATATGTTAACTAACTGCTAATTTAAGTCAAGGTGAAGGCAACCTAGACCTGGTCTATACATCATTCGTCCTAATACACACACAAAAACACACACACACCTTAAGTCAATGTGGGTCTACTATACTAGCCGGCGCACACAAACCTTGTCCCTAAATCCCCAAAATTGCTAACTCCATCTAAATCAGGTCGGTACGATTGAACTCTGACGAGACTGACGCAAAAGCCAAAAGGAAATGCGCCGAGGGGGAATCGAACCCCCGGCTCCCCGACGCTGCTGGATGGCAACGGAGAATTTTACCACTAAACCATCGGCGCATGTGAGATGACTCGTGAACTGAGATGCATGGAATGCCGGGTTGTGGGCTAATGATTCCTGGATGTCAAGATTATTGGCTGTGAACCTGTCTCGGGGGATCCGGGCCCGCTCCGTGGTGGGCACCCGCGGTGCTGAAGAGTCAACGACGGAAGACCGGAACGTGATAGTCTTACCTATTATAACAAAAATGAGGGATTGTTCAGTTGGAACATCCCGTGGGGAGGTTATAGCGGATCAAATATCAGAAATTATCAGTCGTGTTCTACAGATACTGATGGTGCGTAAATAGAAGTATCAATAAGACAATTTAAAGATGGTATAATATTGGGTAAAGTATTTAAAGTCAAGCCAAGCAACCAAGTAGCACGTACCATTACCTCAGATATTTTCCAAGCCTCGTGGGTTTCGTTCAGAGCTACAGTTCTAGTTTATTGCTGTCCATCACTTCAGCTTTTAACCGTCGCCATCCTACCAACCCCCCACTCACTTAGGAGCCCGGCATCGTTCCGCCGCATCACAGCCACGACACCCATACTCGCACGTCCAAGGACACGGCGCCAGACATGCCCATATTCTGAGCCGAGTCAGAGTTCCTATCGCTCCCAGAGATCCCCTCGCGGGGTCTCACAACGGACCCAGTGCCCCGCGTCACGGTAAGAAGACCCGAGTAAGACGCCGCTCGCGTGGTCCTCATCCCCAGCACCGTTCTATATCACCCGTTCCTTGAGGCCCTGTGCATGAGCTACACGAAATCTCCCTCGCAACTCCTCCCTGCTGGAGATGCTGACCGCACATCGACACATTGCCCACCAAGGCTCTCCTGAGCGCCACCGCCGCCGTTCGTCTTCCAATGTCATTGGCCTTCGCCCCCCGACCCTGCTATATGAGGTCCTCTTAAACAGAAGAGCAAAATACACATCCGCCAGCGCGGTGGGGCAGAAAGAAGACGGGGCAAGTCGCCCAAACACAACATGCATCCACCGCGTCTTTTGCTTCCAAGTCGATAAGAGCAGAACTGTGACGCAACACCCAGTACATTTTCGTCAATCACGTCTTCAAGGGATAATGATGCGAGAGATGCGTCCCCACCGGGCCCACGCAGCTAGCACCCAACACTCTGGTCGTCAAAACGAGACTACCACGATGGCCGCCGCACACGGCTGGCAACAACGGGCCTAGAGAGAGACGTGACGCAATAACAACACCCCTCTCCCCCGAAAAAAGAAGGCGACCAACCAATCCCACGGTCCCAGGACCCAAAGGAAAGGGGACCATGTCACATTGCCCGTTTCTACAAGCAGTCCACATGGATGGTGGCGTCCGAGAGATAGGAGGGAAGCGGGAGCTGCCGCCCGGCCGGGTTCAGTCGGACCAACCTAGACGTGAGACCATCCAATGGGATGTATCTATCGGCTCCAAAGGGGGATGTCATGCCTCCTGAGATAGGGACACGACATGGTTGGCATGCGTGGGGGGACACGGGAAACGTTAAGACGGGACAGAACCGTTGACTGCCGGGGTCTTCACGTCAACACTCGCATGTCTATGGTCTCTTATGACAGATGACGGCTCTATTGTAGTCTTCGTTCAGATACAGACCGAGATGGCGGCCGTGTGCCGTATTGTGAGTGCATGGATGTCCATCGGCCTGGTTGTATTATCGAGGGAATCTGGTATGTAGGATGTCACTGTCACTGTCACAACGAACCAAACGCGAAACTTTGGTACAGACCCCCGTCCGTTCGCGGCGCGTCGATGATTCGTCGACCCCCATCAAGGAACCCGCAGACGCGGGGGGAGCAGATAACCGACTCGCTTCGACTTGTCAGCAAAGCGGAGGCGCACCGACAAGCGCACCTGTCTGTGTCCTGTCCCCGCGAGGGTACTTTATGCTGTTATTTCCCCTCCACCTAAGCTTATCCATCACAAAGACGTCAGATCCAGGCACTTTGCCGGTTGACATACTGCAGAAGGGGGGAAACCCGTCAGACCCTGATTAGCGGATAAATAGCGACCCCAAAACCTATTACTCATTGTTTCCCCCCTCGTAAGCAAAGGTGAGTGGATCGATCGTGTGCGCGAGTGAGACACCCGCCCGGAGACGCTCAGATGCTTGAGTTCCGACGATACCGCGCATCGTGGAACACACTGACGCGGTCAGCCCCCCCGGGCACTGAAGCTGCATCTCTGCTGCTGTTTAATGCAAGCAGGCCTGGTAAAGAACAAGAAATGGGGAGTTAGCTTTGCACTGAGCAAAATGTATAAGAAGGGACTGGTTTGTCGCCCAGCACGCACGCCAAGTCTGACAAGGGCTGCCCCGATTGATTGTTGTGCATCTCCCTCCGCCGATATCATAATTCCGTTCCTCGACGTCTCTGCAGTCAGCCCAAGCCGTCCCCCCCCGTCACCGACTCTATGACGGACTAATTTGCGCCGCATCACACCGCATATCATTGGAGTCAGTTGCGTCAAGACGATAAGGTCGAGGAAAGTCAAGGAGTGTTTGCTGTCGACGTTCGAAAGTTGCCTACGTCGTTGTTGTCCTGTATCGATTACTTCTTTGTCTCGCGTGTCTGCAGCGGATGTGAAAGCCACTGCAGAGTCTCCCAGGCTCCCCCGCATTCGTACCCCTCGCGCCCCGCCTCGCGACATTCTTCGCCCGACGTGGCCGAGACCCCGTCGCTCACTTTGCCGCTTTATCTTGTCGTGTTGTTAACCGCTGCTCGCCCCGGCCCCTGCGCTGATCCGATTAGCTTTCAGCAGACAAACTTCTCCAGGCCTGCATCTGAGTGATTGGGACGCACTTGGCTCAGCCCGCTGCCGAGCACACTTTACGAGCAAACCAAACTTCACCACCTTCGCCATCGACGACGATCTCTTTCAACGAGTCCAGCAGCATCATGTGGTCCAGCAAGCGCGCGTCCCCTCCCGCCGCGGCGGATAGCCCAACCGAAGTGGATCCTTCTGCGCCCGTCACCGCCAGACAGAGGAACCCCGGTCGTCGCATCGCTCAGATTGTGAAGCTCAAGCCAGAATTCGTCGACAAGTACAAGGAGGTCCATGCCAACGTTTGGCCCGAGGTACTCAAGCAGATCAAAGATTGCAACATTGTCGACTGTAGGTGACGACTGACCCACGTGGAGAAGCCACGCAGAAGCTGACCCATCCAAAACAAACAGACAGCATATGGCACGAGCCCGACTCGCGCATCCTGTTCGCCACCTTCAAGTACGTCGGCTACGACTGGGCCGGGGACATGGAGAAGATGAAGGAAAACCCAAAGGTGCGCGAGTGGTGGGCCATGACAGACGGCTGGCAGGAGTCGGTGGTCCCCGGTGCCGTGAGCAGCGAGGCCGACGAGCCCTCGTGGTGGAAGCCCGTCGAGGAGGTGTTTTTCACGCCTTGAGGAGGGAGGGAGGGAGATGGAGGGTATCCAGTGTGTTGCATTTTTTATAGTCAACGACCAACCGAGTTATCAGTGTTTCCGTCTTGATCACGCCGGGCAGCCCAGTCTGCGCCCTCTGCGGGCTGACATATGAGGTACATTGGCTTCGGTGGAGAGTGCGGCGCCGTGTGTACTGGTGACAACTGTCCATTCGCATTACTTGAAGCCGCCAAACAGCCCGCCAAAGACGCCGCCAGGCCCGCCGCCGCCTCCGCGCTGGCCTTGACGCCGAGCCTCGGTCCTAATCCATTCTTCGAGGAAAGCGCGGTCCGTCAGCTTTTTCGCGTCGTGAACCTTTGTCTGGATCTGGGCTTCTTGGTTGTCGAAGCTCAACAGAGTGGGGATCGATGTGATCATATAGGTCATGCCCAGTCCCTCGCTCATGACGTCGGGAGAGTCGAACTCGACCGTGCAGTAGCCAACACCGCCCTCGGCCTCCCCCACGCCGGCTTCGACGAGGGACCTGATCAGAGGAGCGACAACTCTACAGGTCCCGCACCACGAGGTGGTCCATAGCGTTATCAGAGGTGTGCGAGACGAAGAGGACATGAGCTGGTAGGTATGGAAGTCGTTGGGATGACGGACACTAGAGGCGGCAACAGCGGGTTAGCGGTCGTTTGACATGTTTGACACGGACAAAAAGCGCTGCACAACTTATGGGTGTGCAGTAGAAGGTGCAGGTGTCCCACTTACGATGCGAAGATCTGGTTCTTGGCGGGAGTGCTGCGAGATGTGGAGAAGAAGGCAACCGCGGGAACCACGGGTCGTTTGAAGGCTGACATGCGAAGACCCTTGGCAAGGGAAGTGTGGCAGCCCCGGACGGCGGTGTGGGCCGTATGCCGCAGGAGGTGCATGATGGCTCTCGGGCTTAAGAATCTTGATCTTCTCTTATGCAGCGCAGGGCAATGCCGGATGACGTCGGTGAAGGCGGCCTCGTGATGTGTCGTGATGAGACTCGACAAGATGATTTGCGACAGAATCTTG